GCATTGAGCATCTTCCCATGGTGGTCAGTGTGAGTCAGTGACCTATTTTTCTCAGTTGTTCACCATTAGGGTCAATTTGCATATTATTGTTTTATTATATAGGATGTCTAGAAAATATAACTCTTCTCTCTCTTTTTCTCCCCCCTCCCTCTCTCTGTCTCTCTCTCTCTTCTCTCTCTGACTGTTTAACTTTTTTAATAAATAATTTGCTTACTAGCCAGATAAATGATATACAATAGTAGCCAGCGATAAGCTTATTCAAAGGTTTCTTGTTTTATTACCTTCAGTATAAACTGAGTTATATTTGATTCTAGTTAAAAATATTTTTTAAATAGTTAAGTTCTATCAATTATAAGCATGTATAGAAGTTTATGCAAGTTCAGAAATTACGCTGTCAGAAAGAAAAAAGGCACAATCACTGATTACTCAAAAAATATTTAAACAACTCTAATTGTATGAGGTAAACATTTCAGCAGCTTTACTTATATATTAATTAAGCTTAAAGTTTATCAAGTGCTATTGACTGAATTGGGTTGTCCTTCAAATTCATATCTTGAAGGCCTAACCTCCATGTGACTGTGTGAGAGAATCTTTTGGAGCTGATTAAGATCAAATGAGATCCTAAGGGTGGAGCCCTGATCCTATAGAATTAGTGTCCTTTAGCAAGAGAAGGCAGCAGAGCTCTCTCTCTTTAACACGTGAGAACACAGCAAGAAGGGCATCTGCCAGTCAGGAAGTAGGTTCACTCTAGAGTCCACGATGATGGCTCCCTGACTGCACTCCCATCCTCTAGGACTTCATGAAAACAAATCTCTGTTGTTTAAGCCACCCAGCCCATGGTATTTTGTTATGGTGCCCATGCATACTAAGACACCCAGGTTGACCAGAAATTTTTAGAAATTATTATATCAAGAGAAAATTGTCTTTACATACACAAAATCTGGAGCCATGTGAGTGAATGGATGAAGGAGGTGTAGAAGCTGATGGAGACAGGGGAAAAAACAATAAGTACGAGACCTGAGGGGACCAAATAAGTTGTGCCTGTAGCCAAATTGAATGGAAGAGAAAAATTTTGAACCCTGGACTAGATCTGGATGGTTTTCTAAATATTCAAGAAGCATTGTTAATTTGGGGTCTTGGAATGAACCATTACATGAACTGTACATTACATTAAGCTCTTTAATTATCAAATTATTTTTTTCATATTGGAATTTATATAGTACTGATTTACAAATTGTATGGGCTTTTATTTAAAATTTATAAATGTTAATTTATTCAATTCATGTAGATGGCCAAATCAAAATATTTTACATACTATTTAATAGGTTGCTATAATTTACAAGTATAATGTAACCTTTCCCCCACTCCCAATGGTATTTCTCTTGCTATCTAGTGAGTCTTTCTAGAATGGCTAGATACTTGGCCTGAAAACTTTGTTTTTCCCTAGACAACTAAGCAGTTAAAATTCTTTCACATATGGCATTACAGTAAGTCTAAAAAATATTTGGCCAACCATAGGCTATTCAAATAACTAATACTAAGTTAAAAGCATTTTTAGAAATATTAAATTGCTCTCCACCTCTCTCTTAAATACTCTAGGAGTTTGTTACTCAGATGTGATCCAGAGCCAGTAGCACCAGCAATACTTGGGAGGTTGTTACAAAGAGTCTCTGTCCCCACCCCAGACCTTCCAGAGCAGAATCTGCATTCTTACAGACCCCCAGGTATTTATGTGCATATGAAATTTTGTGTATTACTAGGGTACTCTTGACTAGCATCAGAACATGATCTTTCTATCACAAAATCACATGAAGTTTAAAGCACAAAACTTTGTCTCCATTTTCGAAACTTGTTGATGACTCAGAAGACATGAACATCTAATCCTCAAGCTTCAATGTCTGCATAGTAATATAATAGAAAGTTCTCTGGGCATAAGGCTTGAATCTCATTCCTGTTATTTATTTATTTATTAATATAGCATTGATAAATAAATAAATCCCATGGCAACATTTGTTCATTTTTAATAATAATGTTTATTTCATAGCATTTCAGAATATCAAATGTAAAACGCATATGGGTATAGCAAACATAATATTCTGAATAAATGTGAGCTGAAGAGAACATGCTCATGAGTTAGGCAAGTCTTCATCAGGATCTGGCCAAATGCATAGAACATGCTGGCGACAGACCATAACCCTTGGAAAACTTTACCTGCCCAACTATTTAAATCCTTCCCTGGCTATTGAATGTTTGAAATGTAAATGTGCAACCAAAAGACATTCTATTTCAATGTCCCACGGAGAACTCATGTCCCAGACTGAACCCATCACCTTCTTGCTCCTCATCACAGACTATTTTATTTCAATGGCTTTCCGTCTTAGTTAATGGCAGTATTGTCCACCCGTATATTAATATATAATTTAGAAAGCCTGGAGTCATTCTAATTCCTTCTTCTACCTCAGCACCTATATCCAATCTGATACTTAGATCCATCAATATTCTTTCCAGATCTCTTGCTGATCCATCTCATTTTCTCCACCCACTACACCACTGTTTAATTTAGGATTTACAATTTATTTGGACTACTCTTTCCCCAGCCACTTACAATCAATCTTATACCACCAATCTACCTTGTAAGATGACAGTGGAATTGATCTTTCAAAACAAACATTTCTTTTACATCCATGAGAAATTTTCAATTGTCTCGAGACAAAAATAAAAATATGTGCTTATATATTCACAAACTGTCTCGGGAAGGAACTAATATTCGTTGGCTGTAAGGAGAACCATGTAGCTGATGAATAGGGTCAGGAAGAAAACTTTTCACCCTACATTGTTTTTGCAACTTTTACATTTGGTACCATGTAAATGTATCAAAATTTTAAAAGAAAAAAAATTTTTCATCTGGGTAAAACAGCATGATGTTCAAGGATTTGCAAAATAAAGTGCAATCAGAGTTTTAAAAACAAAAAAGAAAAGAGTCAGAATAAAAAATGTTGGTAAATTTACCTGCAGAATGAGTATATTTGAGATTTGCTTCACTATTTATGTTTTTATAATAAAAAATAAATTCTAATCTTGCCTATACAAGGTAGTTCATGATCTGTCCTCTGCATATCTTTCTAGAAGCTTTCCCAAACTCTCTACATGGCTTCTTTTTTTTCTCGCCATGATGAACCACTTCTATTTCTTGGGACCAAACTCTGTTCTTACTCATCTCCATGCCTTTATTTATACCAGTATTTTTTTAAAATATATTTTATTGATTTTTCATAGAGAGGAAGGGAGAGAGACAGAGAGCTAGAAACGTTGATGAGAGAGAAACATCGACCAGCTGCCTCTTGCACACCCCCTACTGGGGATGTGCCCGCAACCTATAATAGATACATGCCCTTGACCGGAATAGAACCTGGGACCTTCCAGTCTGCAGACCAACGCTCTACCACTGAACCAAACCAGTTTCGGCTATACCAGTATTTTTAATGGTAATGCTCTTACCTTCCTTACCTACTGATGAACACCTCTTCTTAGGACTTCGATTTCTCAGTCATCTCTACAGAGAAACCCTTCCTGGGGCCCTCCTCACTGCTTCCACACAGAGCTATGTCCTCCCTTCTCTAATCCACCACAGTACTTTTTACTCTCTTACTTTTTGGTTCCTATCACATTGTGGGAATCAGCACCCCTCTTAGAACCAACAACCAGGCCCCTCTTGGAGTCTCTGTGCTTTAAAGGGCTCTCCGGGCCCCTCCAGTGATTCTCTGCCCTGGTCTAAGAATCTGGGGAGACAACAGGCTGTAGCCACCTGGAGTCTCTTCTCTCTTACACTCCAGGTCCTGGGACCCTGAATTTTCCTCTCAAAAGCTCCTACTCTGATGCCAGTGGCTTCATAGGCTTCTTCCTGAAAGAATCCTTATAAGTTTGGTCACCCTAGTTTCAAGGGATGATCAAAGCCAAAAGGAATCTGTTGGGCAGAGAGGACAGAATTTGGACAAGCAGGTTAGTATCCGGTGTGTACACGGGTCCCTTTCAATATGTGACAGAGCTCGGGCAGAAAGAACACTTTGGTGATCGGGGGGGACCTCCATTTTTCTCCTGCAAAAAGTTAGTGGTGCACTTGGTTTTAATTACTTGTGATTTATATTGACTCCTCTTTAACTACTTTAAATTTTATATTTGCAAACTAAGTCTTGGTAGGACAGGGACTATTTTCTATTAATGCCTGAATCCCTAGTACTTTGGACAATATCTGACATTACCCCATTGATTGGAATTTATTAAAGAATAGTTGAATGAGTAAGTGAAGACTTAAATAAATTATATTAAATTTCTAGCATGTTTGTTTCTGATGTAATATTCCCAGACTCTAATTTTGCTTGATTTCATCACATTTCAAAGAATAAGTTATTAGTGGTAGTTTGCTAATTTCATAAAGCTTATACAAACACACACACACACACACACACACACACACACACACACACACAATTTCATCCTCATAATAACCCTCTATTAGATTAGAGTTATTCTTGTTCCATTTTAGGAATGACAAAACTCATGAACAGTGAATTTAATTAACTTTCCAAATTTGCATGTCTAGTAAGGGGTAGAATTCAGATTCATACCCAGAAACTCTGGCACCAACGTTGTAAGATACTGAACGAATTGAGTTGTGATAAAACTGCAAACAATGAAAGGCATATACCTATCCATTTGTCCCTACGCTTTCTGGTTGATTTTTAGGGTAAAAGTTGGTCACCCTTCTAGAAGTTGGGGTTGCAGAATGGAATCTTAAGAGGAAAATTTAGGTTCTCTAGAAAGGAAGAAACTGTAATTTAAGGAAAAATAAACCGTAGCTATGTAGTATATAAACAAAAGAAAAATTACTTGAGAAAACATGAATTTAGTTATTGCTGGTATTATTCTTTTGTTTTGTTTCTCTACATTCTACTTTATCTACAATATAGAAGATGTTTGGAAAAACTAAATAGAATACTTGCCTTCAGGAGCAGGCGAAGCTGGAGTGGTTCTGGAAGCTTGTTCTGTGGGTAGCAGAGGTGGTATGGCTGGGCTTTGTCCTGTGCACACAATCAGAAGTGGGTATTGAAAAAAAGTATTAACAGATTTAATATCCACAACTAAAATAGCCTGATCTTCCCCCAGCATGCATAATTCATAAACGGAAATATAAATCCATATTATTATGCAATAGGCAAATTGTTATTAGCTGAGATCTTTAAGTAGATACAGACACAGATGCAGTTATCTTCAGAGCCATTTCTGAATATATTACTTTTCATAAAAGTATACACAATGTTAAATATATTTACTGGACTTCATTAATGAAAAACCTACATGAAATCAAATAAAGTAATTTATTTTCAATATGCACTTAAATTATAAAACCTAAAATCACAAAAGCTGAGAAGAATCACCATGTTTTCATTTAAGTAAATTTTTTCAATTGATATAAAAGAAGCTTAAAATTCATAGGCCTTTTGATGTTAAACAGGTACATTTTCTCCTGCTAAAATAAATGACCTGAAATAAAGTAAATAATGGGCCAGAGGAAAAATATATTCAGTTTTGTGGAGGCTTGAAATGCTCCCTCAAGTCTCTCGGCTTATTATGAACTGTATAAAAATCTACAATCATTCCTGAATGCTTCCTTATCCCATGCGATTTCTTTAATTAACCAAAACCACCCGGCCCATGAACTGTAAACATTAACTAACATATGACTCCATATGAAATGCTTGCAAGATGTTTTATCATTAATTTTCATTTTATGAACTCCTGCTGTGTGGTACGTTTTCATCCGAGAATCGATGTGGGCATACGCACCTTCTAAAATCTCACTGACAACTAGATATTATCAAATGTCAGCAGACCTGCCTGCTTACTGGAAGTTTTCCTTTTTTAGAATTCATCAAAATGACTTCGCTCTGGTGAATTGTAGATGAGCAAGCAGAGTAATCCGAGTTGCACACACCACACTCTGTTGTGATGAGAAGGGCAGAATTCCAGGCCTAGACCCTCAAGCCAAGGAGAGGTTAGTCTCCTTTCATTACAGGGGCTTCTCCTAGTTATTAGAGTGAATTGGTAGATTCTTGAGCATGTGCAAGCATGTATAAAATCAAAACATATTGTTTCATAACATGTAGGCTATATACCTAAAGAATATTAACCCATATTATTATTAAATTTACTAGTGGTCCAATGCACAGAATTCATGCATAGGGGTGGAGTTAGGGGGGGGGCGAGAAACCCAGCCTGCATCCTCTCCAATCTGGGACCCCTTGGAATGTCCAATTGCTCCTTGCAATCTGGGACTGCAGGCTCCTATCTGCTCACTTTCCTGCTTGCCAGTTTGGCCCTAACCACTCTGCCTGCTAGCCTGATTGTCCCCAACTGCCCCACCCTGCTGGCCTTCTCCCTGCACTGGCCTGCTTGCCCCCAACTACTCCCAGCCACCCACTGGGCTGCTCACTTTCAACTGCTCCCCCACCTGCCTACTCGCCCCCCCTTGCGCCCCCCTCCCCCTGCTGGCCTGTTCACCCCTAACCGCCTTTGCCTTGGCCCCACCACCATGGCTTTGTCTGAAAGAAAGTCTGGAAGGTCTCCCAGAAGGTCTCCCTGTCTAATTAGCATATTACCCTTTTATTAGTATAGATTCACTCACCAGCACAAAGATTTGATAGAAACATAATGCAACTAGGAAGTTCTTTTGTTATCAAGCAAAGAAAAGGTAAGGCAGAGCACTGTAAAAAAAAGTTTGCTCCAGCTTTTCCTCCCCAGCTAACATTTACAGTGCTTGTTGTGTGCCTGGGACAGTCTCAAATAGTTGTGTCTTGTCAATCTTCACAAAATTCTTAGGGCATAATTTTCATTTTACAGTTTGAAAATTGAGGCAAACAGGGGTTTAGGACATTCAACTCTTAAGAAGTGGGCCTAGATTTTCATATGCTCTGGATCTGAGGTGTTTAAAGTTGCTTTCTGACTAAGGCGAGCAAATCATCATCCCATGTTGGGAATCCATGACTGCCCTGGGAAAGGACAGAAGAGTGAGGCTTCTTCCCTTCTGCTCCCACCCTTTTTGTAAGTCACAGGAAAGATTTGTCTAAAATCTTGCTTGAGAGCTGTTTTTGAAAAAATATTACCAAGGTAGAATATCTTTTATAATTGTTAAAACCTAGGGGAGTCTCGATTTGGGAAAGAGTCAATTACATGACTAAAGCTTAAAATACAAGTGGCCATGAGTATAATTCCATTGTTTCTAAATACTCAGGCTTTCAAAAATACTTCCGTAAAGTGGTGCTTGTTCAACCTAAGCTGTTTTACCTCTATCAGAAGCTTCCATAAATAGCAGTGAGTATATAATCATAATCTTTTATACTCGCTACAGTCTTTAGAAATTAATTCAAAATATATAAAATTCTTTCTCTGGAAAAGTATTCATATGTATTATAAAATATCCTTAGATTTTCCTGGGGGAAATCTACATCATTATTTTTGTTTTTTAATTAGCACTTATCACGCATCATCACTGAAGAATCATTAAACACCAATCCTGCCTTAAAGAAGTTCCCATTCTACTGACCAAAACATTCACAGACACATCCTTATAATGCAGTGTGGGGGAGGGGGCAGGAGAGTGCAGGAGAGGAATGGGCTCTAGACAGTGAGAATCATGTGATAAAAAGCCAAAATATGTAGAATTATTAAAACAGACAAAATGGCGTTTGTTTTTTTGTACATAAAGTGCAATATCCAGTTTCCAGTTTCTATCAGAACTTCTCTCCAATGGTAACAAACTATATTACTCTTCATATTATTGTGAGGCAGTGGATGCAGTGGGAAGAGGGGTCACCATGGAAAGAGAAAGGAAAAGGCGGATGACAGTGACAGGCAGCTCTTTAGGGGAATGATTAGCTCCGGACAAGTTTTTGTTGTGCTGCGAGGCACCAAAACAAATCGGGTGTGCCCTACTTGAGCAAGATGCATGACTTTAATACAGACTTATAGAAAAGTGTTTATCTACATTCAAATAATGTCATAAAATACTATTGGAATTAGAGATCATTTTGCTCTATTAATGAATATATTACATATAATATACAATAATGTGTAAAATTATATAAATGGAACATTATATTGTTAGAATTTTATAATAAAAGCAATATTTAGTATAAAATCTTTATGCTTGGAACCAAATGGCTATAAGTGAGCATTTCAGCTCCATCACTTGTAATCTGTGTGAGCTTGAAAATCTCCTAAAGATTTCAAACATCAATTTATGAAATGAGGATCTTTTAGGGCCATTACGGGGATTAAGTGATAAAACAGCCAACACATAAATACTCAACGTACTGTGTTTCCCCGAAAATAAGACCTACTTACAGGTTTCCTTCTGAGTGAAATATAAGGCATCACCCTGAAAATAAGCCCCCCCCCAGGCTAAACATGAGAGATTTGGTCCACTGATTCTGAAAGAAATGGAGTCACAAGAAATTCACCAGGAAATTCAGGAATTGGATTGTTATAATGATGTTCCAGAAGATAATGACATGATTGTCATTGAATAAATGAGTATATTCTTGATACTGTAGGATTCACAGTTTGTCTGGTTTGTGTTGACAACTACCGTACTACCATATCGTATACAGGTAATAAATTTCCTTTATTATTTTAATTTAACAATAAATGTGTACCATATTCTTCTTCATGGAAAAATAAGACATCCCCTGAAAATAAGATCTAGTGCATCTTTGGAGCAAAAATTAATATAAGACACTGTCTTATTTTCGGGGAAAGAGGGTATTAGTTCTTTTCCCAATGATGTATTTACAGTTTATAGCCCATCTATTTTCACAAGAAGACTCTAAATAAACTGCTGAAGAAAACAAAGACATAACAGGAAAAATTAAAAATGACAAAACAGCACAACTCATTTACAGGAAAGATGATTATAATTTTATCAGGGGTGTGTTCCTTTGGAAATCCTGAGGATTGTTACTCTCTGAAGGAAATATTTACATTGGGACTCTAAAGGAGTCCTTCATTTTACAAGCTATTACCTGGCAATCCCTCTGACATTCAAGCAGAGTGATTTGGCTTTCTTTTTTGTCCCATGAATGATTTTTTTGCTGGATTATTTCCATAAACTTGAATGACATGTTTATAAGTAGCCAATATTTTATTGTTCTGAATTCTTTCTGATAGAAGTGAATTTGATTGCTTTGGGTTTAGTCAAATTTGATGGCGGATAGTTTATAGTATGCATTCCTTCTAATGATCTAAACTACTTGCTATTTCTTTATTTTGCTAGAAATAATGAATGGGATTACTCAGCATCTCAATTCATGTGGGCAGCTGTGAGCTGAATTCAGATTGCATGAGGTAAAAAGTAATGCTATGCTAAAGTTTAATTTCTCTAGTTTCTTCAGTAAAGGAGATTCCCAGATTAAATATCATTTCTAGACAACTGAATCAACCCCTTAAATCTTGAAACAAATGTTGAGGATACTTTTTCCTCTAATGCTCCATATTTCATCCCATTAGTCATCATTTCATTTTTAGAGGTACCGAGTACGTCAGAAGATATAAACTCTTTAAAAGGCCTTCGAACTGCAAGCAATGAGTGGAGATGGATCCTGTGATGGACCAGGTGTCACTCTAGTAAGTGATCATAGAGTTAAAATCCATTTAAATTAAAAAATATATGCAAAGTGTGAAATCACTACAAATTCTTATCTCAATTTTTTCTTTCAGTTTCATAGAAGGAATTTGTAAATCTATGATTAAAGGTAAAATGGGAAGATGTGAATTTAGTAAGAAGATGATATTGCATTACTTTTATGCATTGGAACAGGATGACTATTTTTATAACATATGGAAAATATTTTTAATATTTAAAATCTAATAAAAACCAAAATTAAATGAAAATATGGCTTTATATATTAGTCTGAGAGAGGTTTTTGTGTTACAGTAAGGACACATTGACTTTTAAGTTTCCTTACCGAGAGTCTTTTTCTCTTGCTTTATATATTTGGACCAAGTGCAAAATGGAGCGAGTGAT